CTCTCCCCAGGGGTGACCCAGGCCTCCTCTCTCCCCAGACCCTGAGATCGTGGCTGGCCTTCAGGAGCACGTCCAGTCGTGGCTGCAGCTCCACTCGGGCCTGGAAGTCTCCTTCTGCGCCGACCGCGCCTGCCGGCACCTGCTCAGCCTAGAGGAGGGGCACCGGGCCGATCCCGCCATGGCCCCTGGGTCCCACTGACGCCCTCTGGCTGTTTGCAGCGTGGGCACCCCCGGTCCCTTCTCCTGGCTGCGCTACAGCCACTCCGGAGGGAAGGGCAGGGACAGCACCGGAGGGGGCCCTCTATCGAGCATGCAACACCTTGTGGGGGAGGAGAACTGAGCCCCCCCCATGCGCACACACTCTAAGCATGTTCCTGGTGCATTCTGGGAGTCCTGCCAACTCCCATGCTTGGCATGGCCCTGCCGTTACCCAGCTACTGCCAGGGCTGGATTGCTGGGTCATTAACCCCCTCTAGGCCGCCTGGTGCCCGAGGGGTTCTGTCGGCCACCATTCAAGAAGGATGCTGGGAAATTGGCAGGGGAGCGCCGGCCCATTGACACCAATGGATCAAAGCCCATTCAGCCCGGCGGGCTCTGGCCCCATTACAGCCCCCTCCCCAGCAAGGGATTTGGACCCTGGATCCCCCTTCGCTTTGGCAGCAAAAGAGTGCCCAAAGCCCACCCGGCCGAACCCTCCCTGTTGTGTGCCCGGACCCCAGCGCTGGCTGCCGGTGGCACATGGATTCGCACCTGGCACCTCTCTTGGAGCGAGCGTCTCCACTGCTGCGAGAGGAGTAGGATCGGCCCGCCCGAGCCAGCGGGGCTGCATGCAGAATTCAGGCCGTGATTTCAGACCTGCCGGCCGGTTGGCAGGGGTTGCTTCGCTCTGGCTCCTCCCGTGCTTTCCTCCGCTGCTGATTTTCACAGCGTCTGGCCTTGATTTGTGTGTGAGAAAGAGACTTTCAGGCAGGAGTGGAAGAACGCTGGGCCTCCTCCCCAAACTGAAAGCACTTTAGTCGCCAGGGGTGGGGCTGCACGCAGCACACCTCCCATTGCCTCCGATGGAGCCAGGGCCAGTTCACGCCAGGGGGGCAGCTGGCCACGTTGACTCCTGACTAGTCAGGCTCTAAGCCAGCACCTTTCCCTAGGGCCGGGGAGAGAACCCAAGGCCTGGTCTACACTAGGACTTTAATTCGGATTTAGCTGCGTTAATCCGAATTAACCCTTCACCCGTCCACACTACAGAGCCAGTTAATTCGAATTAAAGGGCACTTAAAATCGATTTCTGTACTCCACCTCGACGAGCGGAGTAACGCCTAAATCGATTTTGTTAATTCGAATTAGGGTTAGTTTGGCCGCACACCACCGAATTACTGTGTTTAAGTTAATGGGGTAGTGTGGCCGCACACCACCGAATTAATGTGGTTAAAAACCGAATTAAGGTGCTTAGTGTGGCCGCGCACAATCGAATTTATACAACCTGTTTCACAAATTCGAATTATCTAAATTCGGATTAATCCTGTAGTGTAGACATACCCCAAGAGTCCTGGCTCCCAGCTCCCCTGCTCTAACCACTAGACCCCACTCCCCTGCCAGAGCCAGGGAGAGAACCCAGGAATCCAGACTACCAACCCCCCTGTTCTGAGCATTAGACCCCACTCCCCTCCTGGAGCGCAGGCTCCCACCCCCGGTGAGCGATGGTAAAATGTCTTAGCCTTAGGAGCCCAGCTTTATTCCCCGGCCTGAAAGCCTCTCTGCGGGGAAGGGAGTTTCTACTGTATTTGCAGTGCAATAAAGCGGTTTCTTGTTTGATCCCTGATCTTCGCAGGGCATGCCAGCCTGGGGGCAAAGCCGCCCCTCCCCCCCCCCCAGCGCGGGGGTGATTTCCACCTCCATTGGGTGACTAGAAAGTTGGTGTGGCCAGGGGGCAGCCACGTGGCCCGGCCGTACCCACAATCCCTTGCTCCTGGAGGGAATTAGTCACACGGGGGTGTTTGTGGCACTGCCACAAATCGCTTGGCCCGGCTGTACCCACAATCCCTTGCTCCAGGCATAAGTGCTGTCAAAGCCACCAGGCGGATCAATAAGGTCACTTTTTTATTGTCCAAAGGTATAAATGACGGAGCCCAGGCGCGGGGCTGCGGCTGGCACGTGGCTGGACAGAAGCCATGTACTGAGATGCTGCCAAAGGAAGGCTCCATGGGAGCCCGGAAATCCCCACCTTGGGGAAGAAGGGGTGTCCCTCCCCTAGGACCACCCTCCTGGTGCCTACCTCCTTTCTGCAGAGGGGAGGGTGCCACACCTGTCACGAAGGGGTGGACCCCACATTTGTAAGCCATGTTCTGGACCAGGATGGTGAGAGCAGATGCCCTGATGGGAGCGGGGGGCCCTCAGCTGGGCACCAATGCCCTGGTGCCCCACTCCACCCATCCAGACGCCCGAGTTGGAGCAGAATGAGGCAGTGAGCCAGGAGTTGCAGCCGCGGGAAGCCAGCGCTGGCTCGATCTGAGACCAGGGTGTATGCCCATGGGGGATCTGACACCAGGGCATCTCTGCCAGGCATGGGCAAGGGGTGTGACCCCCAGATTTGTATGCGTGGCACCCATATTTGTAAGGCATGGCCAGGGGGACCCCATCCCCAGCATGTTCAGTGATATGATTGGACAGTGTCACCCCAGGCGGGGGGGGATCCCCTCCATGACCAGGGTTGTCCCACCCACAATGGGTTGCGGAGAGGGGAGCAGGGGTGGCCATGGGGCCTTATCATGGAGGCAGGAGGGAGCCCTGGCCATGGGCAGGAGGAGAGCAGGTGCCCATGCAGAGGGGGACCTGACCCTGGGGGCCCTGGCATGGGCAAGGCGAAGAGAGCCGGGTGTGGCCAGGACAGGCTCCAGGGCCCCAGCAGCGTGTGATGGCCAGGCCGCCATGGGGCAGGGGGAAGGGATCAGCCCCTGGGGGTGACTCCCCCTCCACTGGCATGGGCCATGGTCAGGAGCAGCCCCCCTGTGACGGGGGTGGGGGTCACTCCCTCTTGCGGAGGTGGATGTACATGACGCCACTGAGCAGCGCCAGGGGGAAGGCCAGCCAGGCCAGCACGAAGCAGTAGCCGAAGGAGCCGCCCGGCTGCCGGTCCAGGTGAAATTTGCCCACGTGGATGGCGTAGATCAAGGCGGCTGTGAACACCGAGATACCTGCACCGGGGAGCAGGAGGACAACAGAGAGAGGAGGGGTGAGGGGCAGCTTCAGGCCAGAGCAGCCAGGCATCCGGGCTCCCAGCCCAGCCCCACCAACTGCTAGCCCCCACTCTCCTGCCAGAGCCAGGGATAGAACCCAGGAGTCCTGGCTCCCAGCCCCCCAACCCAACCACTAGCCCCCACTCCCTTCCCAGAGCCGGGGATAGAACCCAGGACTCCTGGCTCCCAGCCCCCCAACCCAACCACTAGCCCCCACTCCCTTCCCAGAGCCGGGGAGAGAACCCAGGAGTCCTGGCACCCAGCCCCACCCCCCCAACCCAACCACTAGCCCCCACTCCCCTCCCAGAGCCAGGGAGAAAAGTGGTGCTGTGATGCGGCCCCTCTGGGGCAGGGCGCGGGGGCTGGTTACATGGCGCGGGGCTGGGCACTCACAGGCCAAGAGCTGGCAGACGCCGGTGGCATAGAAGAGCCCCCCGCGCTCCATGGTGTAGAGCTGGTACATGAAGAGGACGAAGGCAAAGCTGGAGAAGAGCATAGCCAGGACCATGAGGGCTTGGACGGCGTGGAGCCACTCTGGGGACCGAAGAACAGCCACTGGTGAGACCACAGACCCCTCCCCCGGTGCTGGGATGCAGCCCCTCTGGGGTGGGGCACGGGGGCTGGGTATACGGGGACATCACCCGGCGGTGGGACACGGCCCCTCTGGGGTGGGCTGCGGGGGCTGGGTATATGGGACCCCTCCCCCAGTGCTGGGACGTGGCCCCTCTAGGGTGGGGCGTGGGGGCTGGGTATACGGGGACATCGCCCGGCATTGGGACGCGGCCCCTCTGGGGTGGGGTGCGAGGGCTGGGTATACGGGACCCCTCTCCCGGCGCTTGGATGCGGCTACTCTGGGATGGGGCACGGGGGCTGGGTATATGGGGACCCCTCGCCCGGCGGAGAGATGCAGCCCCTCTGGGGTGAGGCATAGGGGTTGGTTATCTGGGGACCCTTTGCCTGGCACAGAGATGCGGCCCTTCTGGGGTGTGGCGTGGCTGGCCCAAAATATCTGGGACTGCCCCATCCCATCATCACCCCGTGGCACTCCCCTACCATCCCCCTCATGCTTACCACCCCCTTCCCCCCATTCCCTGCTCCGGGTCCCCCACTCACGGCTGTCAGCAACAGAGGCGCACACCCAGCTCTGGGTGTTGTTGTCGTACAGACAGTCGTACCACAGATTGACAGTCTCATCATCCGGCAGCACCCACCACGACTGGGGGGATAAGGGGGATTAGCACAGGGCCCTGAGATGCCCTCCCCTCCCCCAGCCTGGGGTCCAGAGGTTACAGCAGGAGCTCTGGAAACCAGGACTCCTGGGTTCTCTCCCTGGCTCTGGGGAGGGAGTGGGGGCTGGTGGTTAGAGCAGTGGAGCTGGGAGCCAGGACTCCTGGGTTCTCTCCCTAGCTCTGGGAGGGGAGTGGGAGCTGGTGGTTAAAAGAGGGGAGCTGGGAGCCAGGACTCCTGGGTTCTCTGCCTGGCTTTGAGAGGGAATGGGGGCTGGTGGTTAGAGCAGAGGGGGCTGGAAGCCAGGACTCCTGGGTTCTCTCCCTGGCTCTGGGAAGGGAGTGGGGGCTGGTGGTTAGAGCAGGGGAGCTGGGAGCCAGGACTCCTGGCTCCTCTGCCTGGCATTGGGAGTGGGGGCGTCTCACCTTGTCCAGAGTGGCGACGAAGAGCAGCACGAGGATGAGGACGTGCAGGGCCGAGATGGCAAAGAGGAGGAAGCTCATGGTGAGTGCTGGGGGGGGGTCAGAGATAGGGGGTGTCAATGGGGAGCCTGGCCATGCCCAAACACCTCCTGAGGCCTGGGCCAGATCCTCACACCCCCTTCGTCAGGACACCCACCAGGCCTTCCCCCCCCCAACCAGCCAGGAGCCAGCCCACACCCCTGTCCCCCCAGATTCCTGGCTACCCCCCAGTCCTTCCGCGCCCCACTCCCCAGTCTCCCGTTCGTCCCCACGCACTTCCCGGTTCCAATCCAAGGGGGAAGACTAACTCTGAGGCGGGAAGTCCCCCCCCCCCCCCCCCCCCCCCCCCCCCCCCCCCCCCCCCCACCCCCCCCCCCCCCCCCCCACATGTACACACACAAACATCCCTCTGTCCCAGCCTCCCCTAATGGGTTCCAGATGCTCCAGGATCATGTGAGCGCTGGGTGTGGGGCTGGATTTCCCCACAGCCACCGTAGAACATGCCCAGCCAGTATCCCGCCCCCATCTGCACCACTGGACCCCACTCACCTCCCAGAGCCAGGAGAGAACCCAGGAGTCCTGGCTCCCAACCTCCCCATTTATCAGATGGCAGGGTGGGATACCGGGGTAGATGGGCCCGGAGGTCTGATCTGGTGGGCAGGAAGGAGGCAGGAAACTGGGGTAGATGGGCCCGGGGGTCTGATTCAGGGGGCAGGGAGGAGGCAGGATACCAGTGTAGATGTGCCTGAGGGTCTGATTCGGCAGGCAGGGACGGGGTGGGATACCGGGGTAGATGGGCCCGGGGGTCTGTTCTGGGGGCAGGGAGGGGGCAGGATACCGGGGTAGATGGGCCCGTGGGGCTGAGCTGGGGGCAGGGAGGGGATAGGATACCGGTGTAGATGGGCCCGGGGATCTGATCTGGGGGACAGGGAGAGGGTGGGATACCAGGGCCCATCAATTTAGTACTGAATATTTCCTCCTACTCCGGAATTCCCAATTTGTTGCTGGCCTCTCAGCTGGGGCGTGTGGGAATCCCGCCCTCTCCCCGACTCCATCGGCCTCTGGGGTTGGATTCAGGCAAACTCCCCCCACCCCATGTTTCTGTGCCAGTGGCTCTTTATATGGGGACCCCTCACCCGGCGCTGAGATGCAGCCTCTCTGGGGTGGGACGCGAGGGCTGGTTATATGGGGACCCCTCACCTGGCACTCAAATGCAGCTACTCTGTGGGTGGGGCGAGGGGGTTGGGTATACAGGGACCCATCACCGGGCACTGAGATGCGGCCCCTCTGGGGTAGGGCACGGGTACTGGGTATATGGGGACCCCCCGCCGGTGAATTGAGGCAGGCCAAAATGAATCGGTTGTGACTGTGGCAGGGTTCACCCCCCAATTTGTGGGGGAAATAGGGGATATTTACAGAGCATAGACTCAGTATTACAGCTCATTTCAAACATGCTGCATCTGTGAGCACAATGCCCCATAGAGTCTGTGCTGACTGGGGAGAGCGCCCCCTTCTGAGCCGCCAGCCCCACTCCCTGCAGCCCAGCGCCCCCTGCTGAGCCCCGCTCCCCAGCGCCCCCTTCTGAGCCGCCAGCCCGATTCCCTGCAGCCCAGCGCCCCCTGCTGAGCCCCCTGCCCCACTCCCCAGCGCCCCCTTCTGAGCCGCCAGCCCCACTCCCTGCAGCCCAGCGCCCCCTGCTGAGCCCCCAGCCCCGCTCCCCGCAGCCCAGTGCCCCCTTCTGAGCCCCCAGCCTCATTCCCCGCTCCCCAGCCCCCCCTCCTGATCCCCAGCCCCAC